GTCTGTTTCACAATGGAACAGGTTCGGGAAAGAATGTCTGGTTTGAATTTCCCCTAGCCAATAAAATATGAAGGGAATGATGACGAGTCGTCTCAGTGTATGTGGACTAGCGAGTCCTAATGGTGAAAGTCTGAACAAGAGGAACCAAGAAATGTATTTCCCATGAACATATGCCATGGAAGTAGCGATAGAGTATCGAACGGTTTCGTATGTAGGAAAGAGGTTGTAAGTTTTGAAAGGATTCATCACCCAGAGGGCCGCGTAGATATTCTTAAACGTTGTCTCCAAAAGTCAGGTGATAGCTTCGATATACAATAACTAACACAGAAGACATTGGAATTATGGTGTACAGACTGTTGACGATCATAACCCTCCACTACTTCCTGTCTTTTGTTGCTCTTTTCGGCATTTACCATCATTCTTCGTTCCTGCTCTGCCTCTCATTAGCACAAACTCCTTAAGTAGGTTACTCGCTAGTCTCTTGTTTTCCATTTTCCCCCATGTTTTCTGAGTGTCGTATTTCTTCGTTACGTGTCACAGGAATTTCAACTGTCTTTTTCTGATTGTATGTTTGCTTGCTTTTCTTGTTTTGCTTATGACTTCCTTGTGGCTCGCATGCTTTGTCCATGGTATTCATAATATTCGTCGGTAGAAGAACAACTCTGTCGCTTCAAATCTCTTCTTCATTCACAGCTATAGAGCAGCTTATATATGTCGCAACATTCTTTCTTTTCTTTCTAACGATAGTTTCCTGTATCTTAATACATTGCTTTGCTTCTGGAAGACAAATTTTCGTTATTACAATGTAGCTACATATTTCGGTGTCAGATACCACACCAGAGTTAAATATCTGTATCTGCCTGATTTTTGACATCCCCATTATGTACCTCACAATTTGGGACTGCCTATTTTACTGATTACCTTTTTTATAGTTAAAAGGTAGTTCTTTCTGCTTGCTTTCCATTACTACCTTGTCTACGATTTTTTTTTTCAGTTTCCTTTCTGAGTCTCTCATTTATGGAATATCATCAGCATATGTTGTGAAAATTATGTCTACCGATAAAATAAAGTCTTCGGATATATAGTTCGCTTAGGATCGTATAGGTTGAATAAATTCGGTGAGAAATCTTTGACTCCTCTTTCTAATTTTTGTATTCACTGTTTGCTGTTCGCGTGCAGACTATTTGTTCCCAGTAAACGAAGAAGAAAGATTTAAAATTAATCTGAGCAATAAATTAAGCGTCTATTTTCTGGCTACATTTTTTAAAATCTCGTCATCAGGTATTGTGGCTAACCTGCGAGAAAAAAAAATAACGTTGGATTGTGGAATACTGGCAACTTGCCACCTGATCAGATGAGTCACATTTTCAACTACATGCAAAACAGGATTATTACATGGTCGGATTATTGGTGACTAAACATGTTCCCTCTCCAGGGATTTCTAGTGAGGACGATGTGTGTGGCTGGTAGTGGCTTCAGCTAAACACTAACAGAATTTTTTAAAAAAGTGTCAAAGGGTAGAATAAACCATTTTGTAGGGTCACTGATCATTTGGTACAATGGGTTAAACTAGGTTCCATAGATATATATGGTGATAACACGGCATCTTTGGGCGGATGATTTTCTAGACGGCCAGGATTTCAACCGTTCGAATCAACGGCCATATATCCTTGACCAAGGCGGACCTTCAAGAGGGAGGGTATCAACTGCGGTTTGACTAAGACAGGGATGGGCTCCGTAAGTCTACTTATCCAAGACACGTTACGTATAGATGAGTAGCTCTTCGGCTTTCAGTCCAGATATTTCAAGGGAACTGGTCAGATGTTCAAGTGCTCAGCGACCCTACGACCATATCTAGCACCTCGTAGACTCTAAGGTACATTGTGTAGTCGCCATTATTGAAGCAAAGATATCATTGTTATGGTATTGCCGCTTGTAATTTATGAGATAGTTAGACGGCTAGATGTAAGGGGTGATGTGGTTGCAGAACTTGTGCTAGCCATGACAGGGTTCTCCTGTTTGTGTGGGATGATACAGAGCCCTGTTGGTAGACATAGGGTCTTCCAGCAGTCACACTCTTGACCCAGGACAGCATTACCACTTCAAGGCAGTTGATGTTGTCCTCCGTTTTGAGTCTGAGACCTTCCCCATCGAATTCAGGAGTTCTTTTTTATCACAACAGTCAGAGTGAGTTTTCCGAGCTGCCGCACCTTTGTAATCACCATTAGAATCATCCAACTCTTTCCGAATCCTCAGTGTTCTCAGATCGAAACTCAACACACTGAAATGTTTCTGGTGGAGTGAAATACGTCATGGTGCTCTTTTTCTCACAGACAGTGCCCAACTGACCCTACTATACTGTGCAGTCGACAAAATGAAAAACAAACAACACGCATGTGCGAAATTAAAAATATGAAATGGCGACAATTTACCCATCGCACCCTGTATATATATGGCGGATGTATAATAGTATCCGAAATAAAATTGGAGATGATGGTGCTTCTTTAGGTCGGAAGGAAAAAAATTACTTATATCAGACACACTATTATCTCACTGAGTAGATTTCTTAGAAGCCACCTGTTGCAGCAAAGTGCTATTAATAAACATTTATTAACTCATAACTTCCAAGAACCTTTAAGGAAAATTCTAGTTGATAATACAGGATCATTTTCAGGTCACATAGTCATACACAGCCCATCATCAGGGAGGCTTTATTCTCCCACTATCTATCTCACACTATTTAGCAGAGGAGACAGCGTGTTAAAAGAGTTTTCAAAATAGAAGTCTTGCCCCGATTAACTGGCTGCGTCTAGCTCGAAACCACCAAGAAGCATACAAACCGCTCATACTTCACACTGCAAAATTACTATGTAGCAGTGACACACAGAATTTCACCATCTGAAAAACACATTCTTGATTATGGCTGCATTCTTTAACTCCTGGAAAACGTAAAATGTTAGACTGCTAAAAAAACTCAATGAAAGATTAGTTGAATCTTCCTTGTCGACCGTTTTCAATGGAAGATGCATGAAAGAAATACACATCAATATATATATATATATATATATATATATATATATACAGAGAGAGAGAGAGAGAGAGAGAGAGAGAGGGTAAATCAAGTAACTAGATATTAGCAACCGTATATGCGCGTTAGCGTGCATAAACAGGTAAACAAACAAACAAATATTTACTAAATTTACTTTAAGGTGTAAATATAACAGTGCTCGATGTGGTTAGACAGAGCTAAGACATATATATTAATAAACATACATGTACCTACGTTTGGGGTGCGACTTAAGTTTCGTTGTTTTACCAACTCATCAGGTACGAGATATAACTTATGATTTTTAAAAATTTATGTACTGGGTCTCATGGGAGGAACACTAAATTACACGCAAAATCACAGTTCAAATTTAAAATAAGTCAAATATAATATTATGGTGTAAATATAGAAAATAGGGTGTCGGTAGTGGGCCATTAAAAAAATTTAAAACAAGTTTAAATTTTAAAAGAGGAAAGCTGGTGGACACTGAATGGAAATAGACGTTAAAATGGTTAAAGTGGGGTAATCAATATATAGCCTAAAATATGATATGTGAAAGCGAAATTTGGATAGTATATTTATCCAGAATAAAAATATTTCCGGAGAAACTTCTTTCTATGACTAGCATGAGTTCATTTCGTTTATTAAGCAGATTTAAATTATTAATATTTTTGAGGCTGAAACTTTTTTTTACAGCAAACACAAGTTGCATCGCTCACCTCGACCGGAAAAGGATGTAATTTTGACGACGAAATCCCTATATATATATATATATATATATATATATATATATATATATATATATATATATATATATATATATATATATATGTATTGCTCTGGTCAATGCTTGTCCGTTTTAAATCAGCCCACTCAGAATAGATCTATGTATTTTTCTCTACTAGCTCGTATACAGCATTGTTGTTAGTACTTTTTGCGATGGTGGTTTATCTGCGATACTTAGAGTCAAATTTTGAGGTTTCAGGATGTTTCACTCGTGTACAACACATAGTGATATATATATATATATATATATATATATATATATATATATATATACATTAAACAATTTGTCAGAAGTGTTGAAAATTTCATTTAAAAATGGACAGACATACCTTGCCAGTATTGGTTAACAAAATCGTGTTTAAAAGAATCCGTGCTCTCTGAGTATATCATATATATATATATATATATATATATATATATATATATATATATATATATATATATAATCGTTATTTGGTTAGAAATCTTTCTTTTATACATTTTTCATTGAATGTGACGGACAAGGGACATTTCCTAAGTTTTTATAATCTTCTTCCTGTTTTCCTTTTATGGAAACTGTGAGAATGTAGAAACTATCCTTAGTCATTACTGTCCAAGGCTCTTTCACCCAAATCATTGGTCATTTTTAAGGGGTTAGTTGTTAGCAACATCAAGAAGAGGCAGTTGGAATCTCTGGGGCGCTTAATGAGGAAGGAGGGCTTGGAAAATTTGATACTCACAGGACAGATTGAGGGAAAGAGCGACCGAAGAAAGAAGAGTGTAACATGCTTAATGAGCTTGAATAAGCAGATAGTAGATCAGGGTTTGGGAGAAATAACAGAAAAGACAAAACTTATTAAGATCTGCAAGTGACAGGAAGATATCAAGGGCCATGATCGCCTACATCCCGAATGGACATGGCACATAAAAGAAGAATGTTTTCTTGTTTGTATGTTCGAATTTATATGACGTAGAAATAGTTGTAATTTTAAGTTACGCAAGACGGGAGTCCTCGCAGTTTCTACCATGCAAATGTAAGGTAACTTTGAATTATTATAAATTTCCGATAATTACCTGATTAGATTATTTCTCACATACTGTGCCCAACTGACCCTAGTATACTGTGTAGTCGACAAAATCAAAAAAAAAAAAAAAAAAAAATGCATATTCGCGAAATTAAAAATATAAAATGGCGACAATTTACCCATCGCACTATCTATCTATCTATCTATCTATCTATCTATCTATCTATCTATCTATCTCAGCCACTTCATATTTAGATATCTCTTTATCTCATCTCAGCCTCTTCTATCTATCTATCTATCTATCTATCTATCTCGGTCACTTCATATTTAGATAACTCCTTATCTCATCTCAGCCTCTTCTATCTATCTATCTATCTATCTATCTATCTCAGCCACTTCATATTTAGATATCTCTTTATCTCATCTCAGCCTCTTCTATCTATCTATCTATCTATCTATCTATCTATCTATCTATCTATCTCAGCCACTTCATATTTAGATATCTCCTCATCTCATCTCAGCCTCTTCTATCTATCTATCTATCTATCTATCTCAGCCACTTCATATTTAGATATCTCTTTATCTCATCTCAGCCTCTTCTATCTATCTATCTATCTATCTATCTATCTATCTATCTATCTATCTATCTATCTATCTCAGCCACTTCATATTTAGATATCTCTTTATCTCATCTCAGCCTCTTCTATCTATCTATCTATCTATCTATCTATCTATCTATCTCAGCCACTTCATATTTAGATATCTCCTCATCTCATCTCAGCCTCTTCTATCTATCTATCTCAGCCACTTCATATTTAGATATCTCTTTATCTCATCTCAGCCTCTTCTATCTATCTATCTATCTATCTATCTATCTATCTATCTTCAGTCTGTTCATCTTTGTTTCTCCCGAAATCTGTTTCGTATTGCTCGAGGAATGTATGCACATTCGACATTTTTTTTGCCAAATATTTACCCATCACTTGGTCATGCATCATCACCAACCACATCAGAGCATTGAACGACGTAAATGTTGTGGTCACTGCTTCTGCTTTTTATATTTTGTTGTTGCAGATGGAAATGTGCGACGTTTGATGAAAGGGGAGGTAATTAGTGTTAGTCTTGCTTTTATCCGCCTGAGTCAACACTTAACGATGATTTCCGCTTATTTTGACATCACACAGTTCGCCCCCATCTTGTCAGAAATAAACCCAGCCTATTTTCACTTCATCTACTGTGCATATTTGTATAACTTCCTGTTTCAATAATCCGAAATTTTCGGAGGATTTTCAGTATTTTGCTTTTTATTGATGTTGTTAAGGAAAAAAAAAGAAGCTCTTACGGTTTCGTTATTTTATTTTTAAAAATGATTTATGCGTATGTTTCTTTTTAATTAGGAAAATAAGTTAAGCACATCGACATCTATGTTGGTCTTGTGACACTAATGGACCTATCCCTTTTGCTCAGGCAAGAAATTGATGGGACAGTGAATAAATAATAAAGAGACTTGAGATTTGACTGGAAAAGGGGGTGAATATTTTGTTGCACATCTGAATCCACCCACAACAAAGAAAATAGCTGGAAAGGTTTTTAAATACAAAAAATATAGAATATTTTTGATTTTTGATTTTATACAACTATATTTTTCTCAGCGTGATATGAGTTTTAAAGTTTTTGTGCTAAAGTTCCTTGTTTGTAGTTGTTAAGATGAAAATAAATGTGAATTATCCGTGAGTATGTGAGAAAAAAGCGGCAAAGGAGAAAGTGAAGAGGAAAGTGTAAGTGTCACATAGCTTAGTGGGGAAGAGTGTAAATGTTACGTAGCTTGCCGATGAAGAGTTTAAATGTCTTGGCGTGAAAGTGTAAGTGTCACATAGCTTGGTGCAGAAGTGTAAATGTCACATAGCCCGGTGAGAAAGAGTGTAAATGTCACGTAGCTTGGTGGGAAAGACGGGTGAATGAGTAAAATAATCTCTTTGAAACCGAGCCGTCGTGAACTGATGTCGCATGTTGCCGACTCTATCTCCTTACTGGTTTTGTTTGTCGAGAGACATTGCTTAAATACTCTTCAAAAGGATCAGAAGCATGTTTTTTTTTTGTTTTTTTTTATTGTCGGCGGGGATGCAAGCCATTGGTTGGAAAATATTAAATATTAATTTTCAAAGGAAGGATGCGTGAATCCTCTGATTCAGAAACTGTTTTGTTGTCATTTGGTGTTCATTTTCTTCGTTCTACAAATTAAGAGAGAAAGTATTGGGTTGGTGAGAACATCCATTTATCACGATAGACGAAAATTCAGTGATTATGGAAAGTCGCTGGTTTGATTTTTGATGTGATCCCCTACAGGACTACGTCAAGGGCTATATTTTTCCGGCATCTTTAACGATGGATCGTATAGATGAGTTCCACTTTAGGTTTGGATTAAAATTTAGATCCAAGAGACGTTCAAAGCACGGAGCATCGTTGAGAGCTAAACAATAGATCGTGATTGGAGAAAACTAGCCATTTGAAACAATATATAAATGCTGATGAGATAACTGATAATGAACACCTCCTAGCAGGTTCAAAAGTGGATATTTGATCCCAGGTATCAAGTCCAGTATTTCTAGAAGTCAATTTAAAATTAAGCAGCATCCCTTCGCAGCAGGTATAAAAGATTGGCAAAAGTAATTTATTCACACCTAAATTCCTATATTTCCTTGTATGGCAAAACTCAGTCACGATGGAGTAATGGATAGCGACTCGGATTGAGGATTGATCCAGTCGAATCCATTGCATTTACTTACGTGCTAATACCCTTGGGAAAGGTATGAATCTTCTTCTCCCACTAGCTATGCGTAAATAGCAAGACAGACCGGGATCTATAGCCTTGGATGGCAACTGGTTTACCGCAGAAAGAAATGGCAACCTACTGCGGGAAAAATCTGCCTCGTCATACATGATCGCCTAAGCTTGTCACGCATGGCGCATAACTAACTGATTAGTGCGTGCCTCGTGAGTGAAATCGTTGTGTGTTTCTCAGCGAGTAGTGCCAGTTGTCGGTGTTCGAGAACAGGCAAAGGCCAGGATTACAAATGGTAACTTTCAACCGAAGAAGGTTCTTACTCACTTAGAATATTCATATGAGATAGTTTTACTTTTTTTTTAATTTCCTATTCGTTCTGGATTGTGTCAAGGTTTACATATATATATATATATATATATATATTTATATATATATATATATATATATATATATATATATATATATATATATATATATATAGAGAGAGAGAGAGAGAGAGAGATAGATAGATAGATAGATAGATAGATAGATAGAAAAGCTCGAAAGTGAAGATCGTGCGTCTCCAGCCCAGACATGGAAGCAATAAATCATTTTTGATCTAATGTAATCATTGCGTGGCAGAATGAATCAGATACTTTCTCAAGAGGTACATTTTTCCAGTATCTTCGTATATATGTGCTTCATTTGAGGTTTAGAGAAAACCTGAAAGCCAGGAGGCATTCAAAATATAGGGCTTCGTTGGGAATGCAACCGTGACGGGAGAACGCTCGGTATTCAAATGTGTGAAATGTTATGTGAAATGTAATTGACTGTCTCATAGCATTATAATGTATTGGCAATGTATTTTGTATGTGGCAATGTATTTTGGCGCAGACCGTCTGATGCTGACCTTTATGGTCAGATGATAGACAAAATAGGGAAGTCGATTTTGATTGACCAAGCTGAACGTGGGAATGAATTATAGATTAAGGTTTTTTTTCGGGAATTGCTGTTCGGACATCGAGCTAACTAGACGTGGTAGATTGCGTTGGTGCACCCCCACACCAGGGTCTTTAGAGTGTTGGTTGTTACACGCCAAAGAAAATAGGCCATGTGAGATTTTCATGTCTGGAAGCGGTTCCCTAATAGGGGATGCAGTAATCCCCGCTTTATAGAAGATGTACCCGTCTACGTGGTTGATAAAATAGTTAAGTTAAAAGTTTTCTTTGTTGATGATTTCCATCTCCTGATTCGAAAAACATTTCGACACCTGACGCAGACGAGAGAACGAATACAACGTTATGGAATCGACCCCGTCGACCAAAAGACCTCCCTAGAACGAGGGGGATATACAACAAAAGGAGTAGGGGGCTACAGCTCTCAAGTCCCGTAAGTCCCCAAACGAGTATGGCGGTCCACAGCTCTTATGTTACTTTGCATCGAAAGTTACTGGAATTCAAACTTGAGTCACTGATTTTCCTGAGATGTCTTCTGAAGAGAAGGCGAAGAGGTGGCTTGAGCATGTATGTCCCTAGTTGGTTTACATGTGTCCCCACTTTAAAGCCGATCCTACGTCACAATCTGTTGGAGTAGCCGTGCGGATAAATACCCTTACACTCTGTTTATCAGTCTCGCTGTTGAAAGATCCAGATTAAGTCTACCCCATTGAGTTTCAGGTAGACTGGTCTAATGTCCAAAATTTTGACAATTGTGATTTTCGTCTTATGACATTTATATTTGACATTAAATAATCCAACATGTGTTGATATGTCCTGAAACTAATAAAGATCAGGATCTAACTTCAACCAAAATTAAATAATCCCAAATAATTCATTTCCCCAATCAAAGCGTTATTATTGTCTGAATAATTTGTCAACCATGAAAGAAACAGAAGACTCAGCCTAATAAAAGCAACAAATACCAGCAGATGCACAGGGATGGAAATATAGCTATAGAACTGCACTACATATAAGAGCTCTCGAATATATGCGGTCATCAGCACAGTATTGCCTGTGCCACCCAGAAAGTACAGGTCTACTTCTGCCATGATTTATCGCTACAAAAGTCAGATTAGATCAAAAATGGAATATTGCTGCCATATCCGGTCTAGAGCTGCTCAGTTCTCACTTCATAGTTTTCCCTCCTACAGCCTCTTTCCCACTGACACAAAGTTGCAAGCTTATCGTTACTCCATCTCTATCGCTATTCCCATGGCAAACGTTCAGACGAACTCTATTCTTTACTGCCATCACCACCTCAGACCATTACAGCCAAAATTTGCCTAGTCCACAGGGTTGAATCGCCCTCAGCCTTTCTATATTTTATTAGTCAAAAGAAAGTTTTACTCAGGCAGTTTCTTCCAAAGAATCGCTAGTTTGTGGAACAGACCCCCCCCGCGCAGATGCTTTTCGAAACACTACAATCTTAACCTCTTTACGTCCATCGTTATCCAGCTGCCATGTTATCATTTTCATAATCTCCATTTCTTTCTCTTACGTTCATACCTCATTCGGTAGAGCTCTATCCCGAGTGGCTCTCGTGCTCTGTATTGGGTAAACATTAGTATAAAAAAATGGAAAAATATTCCCACCTTACCAAAACAAATCGATGATTGAAAGAAAACACGACCAAAAATTGCGTGTACAACAGTTCATGCAGGTGTGTCAGAGAGCACAATAACTAAACTGACCATCTGTTAAAAAGAAAACTTTTAAAAAGAACCCTGAAATATATGGCGACACTTTAAAAATAAAGTGGGGTTAGTTGTATGGTTAGTTGTAGGGAATATAGAGCACCCCAAGTTTTAAAGAATTAAGTTAAAATAATAGACAGAAAACATATCTTCTATATTCCGTGTTCTTTCAGGACCTGGACGATCATGGTTCTCCACAACTTCCTGTTCTTTTTAGCTTGTATTAAATACTGTCTTTTCGCTGTTTCTCATAATCCCAGTCCTGCCATCCATTTACACAAGCTCGTTAGGCAAGTCATGCACTGTTTTTTTCATGCTTTCAATATATCTTGTCAATGTCAAATATTCTAAGCCCTCTTTTCTCACTATGGGCCCTCGAAATTTCATCTGTTTCTTTCTGATGCTAAGTATAAGTGTCCTTTTTGTATCTATATTCTAAAACTTCGTCGTCACTCATATGTTCGGTCCATGGAATTCTCAGTATCCTCCTGTAGAACCACGTTTGTTGCCTCAAGTCACTTCTTTATATGTGATAAGATTGTTCAGCAATCACTGCCGCATAGGAGGACTGATATTACTAACGAAATTTTTCTGAGGTTCCTTCTAAAGTCTAAATGGACTGTATAATTCTAACGCCTCCATCTAAACTTATTTTTTTCTCCATAGGAGTAGACAGGTCCGCCTATCTTATCGTACTTTTAAACTGAAGTAGGGGTTTATCTCTTGTTTCCTGTTTAGGATTGGGTTTTCGTTTCCTTTTAAAACTTGCTTCTACTCTATCACCACCACCATCATCATCCTTATTCGACCGTAGTCGGGATCATCGAACCAATGCGAACGATCCTTTCTTTAGCTATATTAGTATGTGCTACGTCAAGGCTACATACAGATTTGAATTCAGTGTTACTTTCTTCTAGATCGGTTGTCACCCAAGGCTACAGAACACAGTTTGTCCTGCTATTTACCTATAGTTTGGGGAGGGAGGAGAGAAAAGGCGTCATACCTTTCCTAAGGGTATTAGCACGTAAGAGAATGTAATGGATCTGACTGGAATTCGAACTCGGCTCTCCGATTCCTAAATCTGAGCCGTCATCCATTACTCCACCGGGCCTCTAAACTTCTAACGTCTCCCTATAAACTCTGAAAGTTTAATTACTATTTATTTATTTCTCAGTAGAAGTAGATTGGTTCGCCTGTCGTACCGGTTCACACATACTTTCCCGGTCTTTTAGCATCTTTATCTAAACTCTGAATTTTTATTTATTTATTTATTTCTCAATAGGAGTAGATAGGTTAGCCTATTGCCCGGTTCACACACCTCCCCGGTTTTTTAAACAAGGGTAGAGGTTTATGAATTATTTTTTGTTTAGGATTAAGTATTTGGTTCCTTTTAAAGTCTTTTCATTCTCTTTCACTCCCAGTAGCCTCTTGTGTCTTAGTAGCAGTATCACCTTGTTTTGGGTGAATTGGTTTGAAAAAGAAAGGAAGGTTATAAATCCACCCCTTTCTTTCTCATCTATGGGTTAAATAGTAAGGTAGCTTGGGATGTCTAGCTTTGGGTGTTAGCCAGTCTAGAAGGAGGACAGTTGAATTAAAAAATAACGGAGGAAAACGGGTAACCATTTCCAAAGAAGTCATGGCAATTCACAGTTTCTAAAGGAATGTTTATCTGTTGAGAGCATTGACGGATTAACACCCTGAAGAGAAATCGCATTAAAAATAAATTAAACGAGAATGTCTCTGGATTTTATGACTTTGGTTTTTGTAAACAGTTTTACAGAGCCGGCAAAATACACGATGATAAATTACTTTTGCGGGGTTGAAATATTCCCTTTTTTTGTTTTTTCTTTTTCCTTTCTTTTTTTCTTTTTCTCTCTCTTTCTTTTTCTATTACTATTTTGCCATCGTTTTCTCTTTCTTTCTTTCTTTTTTTTTTTTTTTACGATGGTATCTCATTTTCTTCAATACTATTTTTGCTTTGCCTTTAAAGACACTGCCGGAGGCAAAATTGTTGATGTAATGCGATCGCCCGTGACGTCAACAGGTTGCAGTCGTGACGTCACGCCCTAAATGCTTGTTACGTCACGCCATTTGGAAAGTAACTCTTTTCTCCTCATTACCCACATTTTATATCGGCAGGGGGTACCTTGTGCTTTTTTCATGCGTCCTGTGTTCTCCGCCTTGATTTTTGTTTTCTGAAAAGAGTTGAAAAAGCAGAATCTTTTCATCGTAAAATTTTTCAATGGTAGAATTAATTGTCAGGTTGTTCGGCACGATTTTGCTGATTTCTTTAAACAAAATAAATGGTAAAAGAGGAACTAAAAATAATTGAGAAAGCTATTATCCAAGTAAACTGTTACTCAGGGGTTCCCATAGTTTTTTTTCTCTGGACCACATTTTAGGAATTAAAATTTGTCCGCATATCACCAAATTTTATGCGATAAAAAGTACATTTATAAATAAAAACAGAGAGGGGGTTAAAGGGAGAAAATCGTGGATTCGAAGTCAGAACATTATTATTGATAACTCTCTTCTCCAATTTGCAGACCCTAGTTACTATATTCTTAATACTTGATATAATGCAAAAATATCACAATGATAAAATCGGTCAATAATTATTTATAACTATTTATACTACGACTCATACGTGCAATTAAAAGTAATCCATAATAATATTTTAAATCTCGAAATCATATCTATTTCTGGCATATAAACTTTTCAAAATTGTTTCTAAATTTTTTATTGTCTTTCAGTCATTCCATCTCACCTGCAATCCTCTTCCGATGCAACTATGAGGCGTGCTGCATCGTTTGGGAACAACTGCCCTAAGGTGATGCATCTGGAGGACGTCACTTAAAAGATTTGGGAGATCGAAACTTAAGAGAATCTTATATATATATATATATATATATATATATATATATGTTGAAACTTGACTAATGCATGGAATAATAATGCAACACAAAATGTACTTAGAACAAAATGTATTGAAACAAGAAAGTGTACACAATATTTACATATAGTCTTTTGTATATTCCTGGGAAGACCGTTCCTGGAGAATGGGCAGAGTCTCTGGATTGAATCTCTTGATTCCTCCTACTCTCTTCCCGGTACCAACCATATTTATATGGTCGGTACTCCACTATGCAAATTAGGTGGATCCTACCACAACAATATATATTAAGAGAATTTTATGCATATAAAAGTGGATATTGAAGTCAACACCTAGAGGCGACAGTCTGTTTCATACTAGACGCGATCGATTTTATATTTACTTACGTTCTATCCCTGATATTTAGCACTTTAACAAATAAATATAGTATACTTTAAAATTATATTTTATATATATATATATATATATATATGTGTGTGTGTGTGTGTGTGTGTGTGTGTAATAGTTGAGTCATAAGAAATTTCTGTTTTGGGGCAATGACGTATATATCAACCGTAATTATATAAATGTGATGCACACTATCATAGCTTAGTTTTTAAAAGGCAGTGACCCCGTACACAGTAAATTAAAGGAAAATGCTGTTCTTCCTCAGGCCAGTGTGCGGTTGGTGTAATGGATAGCGGCTCGGAATAGGAAATCTGAGAGCTGTGTTCGAATCCTAGCTAGCAACGATATGAATCCATCTCCTCCTCCCAGCTACGGATGAAATAGTAGGAGGTTTACCGTAAACAATTTATCGTTATTCTAAAAAGAATGTCGTTCATGCAATATTCACTTACAAAACAAAAAGAGTTTAAATAATCCACAAAGGGTTGATAAGCCATGGAAAATCAATCAATCAATATTCTCCTCCATGACAGCAATCATGAATAATATAATAATTATCAATGTGTATTTATTTATTTCCTGTCCGATCTGTAGTGGTAAATGGGGCAAATCAACTTAAGTTAGTAAATTTATGGGGGATTACTTTCCTCAGTCGTTTTAATAATATTTACAATTAAAATATTTATCTGCATTTAGACCAAATTAGTTCCCGAGTAGAAAAAGCCGTTTGATTAACCAGTTCCTTTACTCCCACGGTTTTTAGATTGCAGTTTTATTTGTTCAAGCCTTTCATGTGAGGCATTCAGGTATCTTTGTCTATTAAATGATCGCCTTGCTTCAACTTGGTATGGAAATAGGCTTTCTTGTGGCAGTCGTTGTTTTGCTAATCTTTCTCTTCCAAGAGATATTTCCATTTTACTGTTACATTAAACACATAAAATTTTTAATATGAAAAGATATTGAGCAAAAAATGATTATAATGTAATATGGCATAACAAGTAGTGATAGGCTTTTGACGTTGTGCGTGTGGGGAAGAAACCATTCTACGCAAGGGCGAATAAACGATTTTGAATTCTGTCAAGGCTGGAAGGTGAGGATTGAGCAGCATAAGCACAGATATGGCATAAATACTCCAGTCTTGGTATTTTCTTTTACTGATGGTCACCCAATACAAGGCCCAAGAGCCATTCAAGGTAGATGGTTACTGTGTGGAGTTATATTAGCGTAGGAAAAGACAAGTCTTAGGAGTATAGAGTTGGAGCAGATATTAGAACGAACCAGAAACCCAATCCTAAACAGGAATCCAAAGACCGGGGACGAGTGTATGATCTAACACATGTAAAGAGAGGGTATGACAGGATCTGGCGCGACCATTGTCCCCCGCACTTTTTAGCGATGGATCGTATAGATGAGTTCCACTTGAATCCCAGCAAAGTTACCTCTTTGAGAGATAAACCGTTCATCATAACTTGATCGGGACTGAAGATTAAAGAAGAACGTTTAATGCTATAAATCTTTAATCCCGATCAAGTTGGGATTATTGAAATTAATCCACCGACTGATTATTATACCAGGAGTAATCAAAGAATCATAGATACTATAGAACTTCTAGAAAATATAAATGGAACGGATTAATTATGGCGTCTATTTTAGTTGTGAATTCTTGATCTCCGTTTTATTGAATCTCTATACATTGTTTAAAGATTTTTGTTTCATTGCAAGTCACTATTAAAACTTTCTAACAATCGCCGTCATTTTTGACAGCACGTCTACACTAGTAATAATAATAATCATAATAATAAAAAATTGGTCCTTTTAATATTTGACCATTATCGATTACTTTCTGTTATTTATCATTTAAAAAGTTGTAGCAACAACAGCAATAATAATAATTGTTATATTGAACGATGTGGCCAAGAAAAAATATTCAACGATTCTGGCACTGAACTATGCCGGCAAATTTATGTATATTGTTTCCGAGGTTTTCACCAGTGAGGAATTCAGTCGAGAGACAGTAATTACAGCAAGTTCCGACTGGCTGCAGGGTAAATCAGCGCATGGGAGCGAACTGTGTATAACAGTATATTGAGGGTAGTGTTGACATGTCATTGCTCGAAGGAGGGCTTCATAGACTGAAGTCAGAGGCCAGGTCGAAGGGTTACCTCGAAGGAATGACCAGCCACGTATCTGTAACCATGGTGAACATTCAAGTCGGAGGACCGGAAGGCTGGTGTCTGACTTAGAGAGGGATAAATACCACTGGGTCTACTTTGCTCAAGAGACGTTACGTATGAATACATAACGAGACATGTAGAGGGAATTGATCACATAATTAGCAGCGTAGAAGCCCTGAGAGCGCACCAGGTCATTAGACATGATGATGATGGTAATGATATTTCTGTTCCAAAGAACGATCGCCATAAACTTCTAGAGATGATGACGTGTATTGGGTTGATGTTTCGGCTCCTCTACCACTAACGACTGAGCAGTTCTTTTACGGCACTATGTTCAATCAAAATTCCAGGCAAATGTTATAAAGGATAATAATTTTCACGAACATGAACAAAAATGCCCTGAAACTTGTTAATTTGAGAAATTGATAGAATATGGTAGGTTTTGTCTTTAACGAGTTCTTAAAATAAGGAAAGAGGATTATAGCATTTTTTTTCTTATTTACTTTAATATTCACCGAATATAAAGCCCGAGAGACAGGTAAGAATGTAGGTGGTTGTTGTAAGGACGTAAGAGAAAGAAGAAAGTGATCATTATGAGGATATGGAAGGTGGTTGTTGTAAGGATGTAAGAGAAAGAAGTAAGTGATCATTATGAGGATATGGAAGGTGGTTGTTGTAAGGATGTAAGAGAAAGAAGTAAGTGATCATTATGAGGATATGGAAGGTGGTTGTTGTAAGGACGTAAGAGAAAGTAAGTGATCATTATGAGGATATGGAAGGTGGTTGTTGTAAGGACGTAAGAGAAAGAAGTAAGTGATCATTATGAGGGATATGGAAGGTGGTTGTTGTAAGGACGTAAGAGAAAGAAGTAAGTGATCATTATGAGGATATGGAAGGTGGTTGAAGGTGGTTGTCATTATGTATGGAAGGATGTAAGAGAAAGAAGTAAGTGATCATTATGAGGATATGGAAGGTGGTTGTTGTAAGGATGTAAGAGAAAGAAGTAAGTGATCATTATGAGGGATATGGAAGGTGGTTGTTGTAAGGATGTAAGAGAAAGAAGTAAGTGATCATTATGAGGATATGGAAGGTGGTTGTTGTAAGGATGTAAGAGAAAGAAGTAAGTGATCATTATGAGGATATGGAAGGTGGTTGTTGTAAGGATGTAAGAGAAAGAAGTAAGTGATCATTATGAGGATATGGAAGGTGGTTGTTGTAAGGATGTAAGAGAAAGAAGTAAGTGATCATTATGAGGATATGGAAGGTTGTTGTTGGATAAGGATGTATCAGAGAAAGAAAGTAAGTGATCATTATGAGGATATGGAAGGTGGTTGTTGTAAGGATGTAAGAGAAAGAAGTAAGTGATCATTATGAGGATATGGAAGGTGGTTGTTGTAAGGATGTAAGAGAGAAAGTAAGTGGACTGTGGTTGTTGTAGGCTGTAAGTGATCATTATGAGGATATGGAAGGTGGTTGTTGTAAGGACGTAAGAGAAAGAAGTAAGTGATCATTATGAGGATATGGAAGGTTGTTGTTGTAAGGACGTAAGAGAAAGAAGTAAGTGATCATTATGAGGATATGGAAGGTGGTTGTTGTAAGGATGTAAGAGAAAAGTAAGTAAGTGATCATTATGAGGATATTGGAAGGTGGTTTATGAGGGATATGGAAGGATGTAAGGATGAAAGAAAGTAAGTGATCATTATGAGGATATGGAAGGTGGTTGTTGTAAGGATGTAAGAGAAAGAAGTAAGTGATCATTATGAGGGATATGGAAGGTGGTTGTTGTAAGGATGTAAGAGAAAAGGAAGGTGGTTGTTGTAAGGAAAGTAATCATTATGAGGATATGGAAGGTGGTTGTTGTAAGGATGTAAGAGAAAGAAGTAAGTGATCATTATGAGGATATGGAAGGTGGTTGTTGTAAGGATGTAAGAGAAAAGAAGTAAGTGATCATTATGAGGATATGGAAGGTGGTTGTTGTAAGGATGTAAGACGTAAAAGAAGTAAGTGATCATTATGAGGATATGGAAGGTGGTTGTTGTAAGGATGTAAGAGAAAGAAGTAAGTGATCATTATGAGGATATGGAAGGTGGTTGTTGTAAGGACGTAAGAGAAAGAAGTAAGTGATCATTATGAGGATATGGAAGGTGGTTGTTGTAAGGACGTATGGAAGAGGTTGTTGTAAAGTAAGTAAGTGATCATTATGAGGATATGGAAGGTGGTTGTTGTAAGGATGTAAGAGAAAGAAGTAAGTGATCATTATGAGGATATGGAAGGTGGTTGTTGTAAAGGATGTAAGAGAAAGAAGTAAGTGATCATTATGAGGATAAGGAAGGTGGTTGTTATATGGAGGATGTAAGAGAAAGAAGTAAGTGATCATTATGAGGATATGGAAGGTGGTTGTTGTAAGGACGTAAGAGAAAGAAGTAAGTGATCATTATGAGGATATGGAAGGTGGTTGTTGTAAGGACGTAAGAGAAAGAAGTAAGTGATCATTATGAGGATATGGAAGGTGGTTGTTGTAAGGATGTAAGAAAAGAAGTAAGTGATCATTATGAGGATATGGAAGGTGGTTGTTGTAAGGACATTATGTAAGAGAATGTAAGAAGAAAGTGATCATTATGAGGATATGGAAGGTGGTTGTTGTAAGGACGTAAGAGAAGGATGTAAGTAAGTGATCATTATGAGGATATGGAAGGTGGTTGTTGTAAGTAACGTAAGAGAAATGGAAGTAAGGATGATCATTATGAGGGATATGGAAGGTGGTTGTTGTAAGGACGTAAGAGAAAAAGTAAGTGATCATTATGAGGATATGGAAGGTGGTTGTTGTAAGGATGTAAGAGAAAGAAGTAAGTGATCATTATGAGGATATGGAAGGTGGTTGTTGTAAGGACGTAAGAGAAAGAAGTAAGTGATCATTATGAGGATATGGAAGGTGGTTGTTGTTGTAAGAGATGTAAAGAAAAGTAAGTGATCATTATGAGGATATGGAAGGTGGTTGTTGTAAGGACGTAAGAGAAAGAAGTAAGTGATCATTATGAGGATATGGAAGGTGGTTGTTGTAAGGACGTAAGAGAAAGAAGTAAGTGATCATTATGAGGATATGGAAGGTGGTTGTTGTAAGGATGTAAGAGAAAGAAGTAAGTGATCATTATGAGGATATGGAAGGTGGTTGTTGTAAGGATGTAAGAGAAAGAAGTAAGTGATCATTATGAGGATATGGAAGGTGGTTGTTGTAAGGATGTAAGAAAAAGTAAGTGATCATTATGAGGATATGGAAGGTGGTTGTTGTAAGGATGTAAGAGAAAGAAGTAAGTGATCATTATGAGGATATGGAAGGTGGTTGTTGTAAGGATGTAAGAGAAAAAGTAAGTGATCATTATGAGGATATGGAAGGTGGTTGTTGTAAGGATGTAAGAAAAGAAGTAAGTGATCATTATGAGGATATGGAAGGTGGTTGTTGTAAGGATGTAAGAGAAAGAAGTAAGTGATCATTATGAGGATATGGAAGGTGGTTGTTGTAAGGATGTAAGAGAAAGAAGAAAGTGATCATTATGAGGATATGGAAGGTGGTTGTTGTGGATGTAAAGAGAAAGAAGAAAGTGATCATTATGAGGATATGGAAGGTGGTTGTTGTAAGGATGTAAGAGAAAGAAGAAAGTGATCATTATGAGGATATGGAAGGTGGTTGTTGTAAGGACGTAAGAGAAAGAAGAAAGTGATCATTATGAGGATATGGAAGGTGGTTGTTGTAAGGATGTAAGAGAAAGAAGTAAGTGATCATTATGAGGATATGGAAGGTGGTTGTTGTAAGGATGTAAGAGAAAGAAGAAAGTGATCATTATGAGGATATGGAAGGTGGTTGTTGTAAGGATGTAAGAGAAAGAAGTAAGTGATCATTATGAGGATATGGAAGGTGGTTGTTGTAAGGATGTAAGAGAAAGAAGTAAGTGATCATTATGAGGATATGGAAGGTGGTTGTTGTAAGGACGTAAGAGAAAGAAGTAAGTGATCATTATGAGGATATGGAAGGTGGTTGTTGTAAGGATGTAAGAGAAAGAAGTAATCATCATTATGAGGATATGGAAGGTGGTTGTTGTAAGGATGTAAGAGAAAGAAGTAAGTGATCATTATGAGGATATGGAAGGTGGTTGTTGTAAGGATGTAAGAGAAAGGGTGATCATTATGAGGATATGGAAGGTGGTTGTTGTAAGGATGTAAGAGAAAGAAGTAAGTGATCATTATGAGGATATGGAAGGTGGTTGTTGTAAGGATGTAAGAGAAAGAAGTAAGTGATCATTATGAGGATATGGAAGGTGGTTGTTGTGGACGTAAGAGAAAGAAGTAAGTGATCATTATGAGGATATGGAAGGTGGTTGTTGTAAGGATGTAAGAGAAAGAAGTAATGATCATTATGAGGATATGGAAGGTGGTTGTTGTAAGGATGTAAGAGAAAGAAGTAAGTGATCATTATGAGGATATGGAAGGTGGTTGTTGTAAGGATGTAAGAGAAAAAAGAAGTAAGTGATCATTATGAGGATATGGAAGGTGGTTGTTATGGGACGTAAGAGAAAGAAGTAAAGTGATCATTATGAGGATATGGAAGGTGGTTGTTGTAAGGATGTAAGAGAAAAAGAAGTAAGTGATCATTATGAGGGATATGGAAGGTGGTTGTTGTAAGGATGTAAGAGAAAGAAGTAAGGATCATTATGAGGATATGGAAAGTGGTTGTTGTAAGGACGTAAGAGAAAGAAGTAAGTGATCATTATGAGGGATATGGAAGGTGGTTGTTGTAAGGACGTAAGAGAAAGAAGTAAGGATCATTATGAGGATATGGAAGGTGGTTGTTGTGGACGTAAGAGAAAGAAGTGATCATTATGAGGATATGTAAGGTGGTTGTTGTAAGGACATAAGAGAAAGAAGTAAGTGGTCATTATGAGGATAAGATTGGTTGATTTTAGACGAGATTGTAGTGATCGAGGAAGCATCCTCTCAAGAGTCTGTTCCACAAAGTAGCGATTCTTGGGAAGAAGCTGAAGGACCACTTCTTCTTACAAATTGAATACGTAAAGGACGATGTCACGGACGAAGCAAGTCAGGTTTTGGCTATAAAGGTCTGAACTGGTGTCGATAAAGAATTTAGCTCCTCTGAACATTTGGCATGAAAATAGCGATGGAGTAGTGTTGTGGAGTAGTTTTCACAGTGGAGGCTTGTATTTCAATAAGCAGTCCTAAATTAGGTTCGACGTACAAAACGTTAGGAACTTGAAAATAAGAGTTGACGCAGCAATCTAGTTGTGATGGTTGGTACTTCAATGTCCGATATCGTCTGACGCGCTCAAACCACTGAGCCGAACTGGCGACTGCTACTACTACTTATTACTTATTATCTACTTATTACAATAGAATAGGTAATATGGCATAACAAGTAGTGATAGGCTTTTGACGTTGTGCGTGTGGGGAAGAAACCATTCTACGCAAGGGCGAATAAACGATTTTGAATTCTGTCAAGGCTGGAAGGTGAGGATTGAGCAGCATAAGCACAGATATGGCATAAATACTCCAGTCTTGGTATTTTCTTTTACTGATGGTCACCCAATACAAGGCCCAAGAGCCATTCAAGGTAGATGGTTACTGTGTGGAGTTATATTAGCGTAGGAAAAGACAAGTCTTAGGAGTATAGAGTTGGAGCAGATATTAGAACGAACCAGAAACCCAATCCTAAACAGGAATCCAAAGACCGGGGACGAGTGTATGATCTAACACATGTAAAGAGAGGGTATGACAGGATCTGGCGCGACCATTGTCCCCCGCACTTTTTAGCGATGGATCGTATAGATGAGTTCCACTTGAATCCCAGCAAAGTTACCTCTTTGAGAGATAAACCGTTCATCATAACTTGATCGGGACTGAAGATTAAAGAAGAACGTTTAATGCTATAAATCTTTAATCTCGATCAAGTTGGGATTATTGAAATTAATCCACCGACTGATTATTATGCCGAAGGTGAGAAGGATATCCTCTTTCCGAAAAGTCAGTCTCTGAAAAATAAAAAAAAATTAAAATAGACAGAAAAAGGAAAAGAGAAAAAAAAACTGTTTATATGGGCAGCTCAGAGCAGAAGAAGACACAAGTCGTGAACACGAAAGCTGCCCGCAAACAAGTTTAATATATATATATATACATATATATATATATATTAATAAATATACATAATACACTTCACTGACAGTACGACTCGGAGTTTCATGCACCGCGCAATACCTGACGATTGCGTGGGGCATGAAACTATGAGTCGTACTTTTGGCGTAGGGCATCATGTATATTTATTAATATATACTTAATAGCTCTGTTATTTTGCATTGAGCACTGCTCTACTTACATGTAATGATACATACATACATACACATGCACGCACACACACACACGCATATATATATATATATATATATATATATATATATATATGTAAGCAAATATATGGATATAGATCCGACAGTATGAAGAAAAATATACGGAAAAACAAACAAAAATCCTAATATGCGATTATGCTGTTTTAATGTTAATATAATGTCAACGTCGGACGTTTCGGTCTAATAGTTATCTGTTTGGATTAGTCTTGCTCTTGTGTCCATCGTCTATTTCATGTTGAATTGAATATCGTCTAATGTTAATTATGTTTTATGAATATGTCCTGAAGATGGTCTACTAGACCGAAACGTCCGACGTTGACATTATTTTTAACATTAAAACAGCATAAT